CCTGGGGGCACATCCTCTGCCCCCGCCCCTGCTGCGCCGCCACAGACCCTCCCTGTAAGAGTCATTGGGGTTCCTCTGTCCAAGCGTGGCTGGAGAAACAAAAGCAGTTCTGCTTTTGTTCTCCATCATCCTCCCAGTTCATGGAGTCCTTCACATTTTATGTGTTTTTCCTGGTGATGTAGTAGCATCTTTCCATCCCTAAAGGTGCATGAGATTTTTTTAACAGAAGCTTTTTGAGAGGATATGGGGAAGTGCAGCCACTGCAGCCTACAGCACCATTACACAAGATAAAATACACTTTTCTCAATGTGGCCAAGTGTTGACACCTCACTACAAGAGTCAAGTGTACTCAAGCAGCATCTTCAGAGGGTTGATAAAATCCACAAGAGACCTTAAATTCCTTAGTCAGGAAGGACTGTAAAGCACTATGATGGCAGCTGGGGATTTTACAGGCATGATAATAGGAAGATATGGGGACATACAACTTAGTTTGGACCAACTGATGTCACATCCCTGATCTCAACCCTCTGTGAGCTGAAACTGAAGTCATGAGTGAAAACAGAATCAAGCCTCTGAAAACCAGCCACGGGTGGGAAAGTTTGGAAACTGCTCCGTAGAAGGAGTGAAGCCAGTGCTGTTCCTCATGGCACAAAAGGCAGTTTCTTTACACATCAGGGTGGCAGAGAGCCGAAAACCCACCGCAGCTGCCTGCAGAGCAGCAGGAAGCTCCCTTGAGGTTCAAAGTCTCTGACCTGACAGCAGCCCAAGGAGGAAGGAACTGAGTAGGGGTGACAGCAGGCACTGTAGAAGGCTGCAGGACATTTCTGCAAAACAATTGAAATCCTGCAGATCACTGATAATTTTCTTTTTGCCTTCTTGTTTCAGGCCTCTGGTCCTCCACCCAGGCCTAAGACCCCGGAAATCCTCAGGTAAGTTGGATGAAGAATAGACAATGCTGTTAACTTGTGTAGTCAGGTTCAACCCTGTCCTGCACTATTGCAGCTGAGTGTCAAGCTGACACCCAAAACTGATGGAGGATGGGGGACAGATTGTAGAAAGAAGGAGGTAGAGGTCTGGGTTCCTCCTACAAAGTAAAACAACAACGTCACCTACCTTCCTGACCCGTCTGCTGCCCCCACACCCAGGGCCCTCCAAGGGCAGCCACACCGTGTCCTGTATGAGTTCATCCCTGAGACCGCCGAGGAGCTGCAGGTCCTGCCAGGAAACATTGTCTTTGTCCTGAAGAAAGAGAAGGACAACTGGGCTACAGTGATGTTCAACGGAAAGGTACCAGGAGTGTGCTTGGCAGGAGGGGCAGACGATGGGGTGGACACTGTGAGGTTCTGCAGAGGATTTGTAGGGCAAAGCCTTGTCATCAGCAACTAAATGAGTTTCTGATTTAAGTCGCTTATGTCCACCCTGGCTTATGCCACAGGGTTCAGCAAAACCCATCCAACCTGCAGCAGCTAACCTCAGAGCCTCAGGGACTCTCCTGGGTTCAGGGCAGGGAGAGGACAGGCTCAGCTGTGTCCTCCAGCAGTGTGCTGCCTCCTTTCCCAGCAATCCCCACTCATCTCTCTTTCCCCTGCAGAAAGGGATCGTCCCCTGCAACTTCCTGGAGCCTGTGGAGCTCCAGAACAAGCTGTATATCCAGGTGAGGTGGCTCAGCAAGAGACGGTGTCCTGGGGAGGGCAAGTTCCTACACATTCATCCACCACCTATTCTGGGCATTCCAGCAGGGCTCATACCTGCAAATCCCTCCCCCTCACAATGCTGGGGTTAGTTCTTCTGGCTCATAGTCACCCTAACATGAGCTCAGAGACCTGCAAAATCTGGGCAGATGCTGTGTGGATGGCTCCCTGGGTGGTGGTTGGCAATGCTGGAGAGATAAGGGGTACCAAAGTCACCCCTCCCCAGGTCAAGACCCCAGTGAGAGCTTGGGAAAATAGCAGATTGGAGGGGGTGCTCCATGAGGCAGCAGCACCTCAGCTCCCTTAGGAGTGGTGGGATTGACAGCACTACCTTCTTCTGATCTGGCACAGGAAGAAACCCCTCTGGAAGGAGAGATCCCAGAGCCACCCAGCTCCACCATCCCAGAGAAGCCACGGCGCCCAGCACCAGGTCAGTGAGAGGCAGCTGAAGGGACCAGGGTGCCTCAGGGGAGAAATCCCCAGCAGGTGGTTTGAAATAGTTTCCTCAATGCCACATCCTCACACTTTGAGACCAGGGCTAGGGCTCATCTCCACCTCGTTCCTGGACCCATTTGCAGTCAAGGGTGGTGAGACATTAAAGCAGGAGACAGCCTCAGCAGCTGCAGTTCTGAAGGTGGATTAAAATAGAGCATGTGGGTCCCTGAGGGAAGCAAGTCCCTTCGTCCTCTTAAGTAGCACAGTGACCTGTGGGAAAAAAGGCCTGGGGATAGGACGGGGGCAAGTGACCCAGCTTGTCCAAGTCTTGGAGCAGAGGGTTCCTTACAGGCTCCTCCTTAGAGCACCTGGGATGGTTTTAGTGCTGCTGTGAGTTGCCCTAGGTTTGGAGGAGCTGTGGTTGCCCTGGGAAGGGGACTCCTGACCCAGAGTCCCACATCCCAGGCCTGCAGTATGGATGGAGCACCAGGGCCACCACATCGCTTGTTGGTTCAGGACTCTGGGAAGCCAAGACAGGGCTCTAGTGCTCGCATCTGCACTGCAGCAGGAGTGCTCAGGTGCATGTTCCAGAATTTAAACCTGGGCAGCACCCGTGTCATGGGCATGTGAAAACATGAACTGAAACAAAGAGCTGGGAAGAAGCATTGCGAGGCAACCTCTCTAGAAAACATCACGAGGTGCTCAGAGGTGGGAGATCGTGGCTGGACTCCACACTGCTGCAAGAAATCCCCATTTAGGGTACAAAATACCACCATGTAGAGACAATACCACACAGGTGTTAACCTGCTGCAGCTTATTCTGGCTGTTGATGGCCAACCTACCAAAGGGAAAAAAAAAGGAATGTGTGGACAACCGTAGCCAAGCCCTGTGCTCTGAGGTGGGCCTGAGCCAGTCGATAGTGAGGAAAGGTGCAACAAAAGAGCACTAATGACAGGACAGAGCTCGTGTCCCAAGCAGAGCAGTCATGTCAAAGCACTCACAAAACATAGAGCAGACCCTTGTGAAGGGACTCCCAACAAACCTGCATGAAATCACTCTACCTGGAGGTCTGAATTCAATTTACAATCCTGGTGAAGGACAGAGATTGCCTCTGGTTTTCACTGTGGACCTATGGAGATTAGAAGACACCAAAAAACAGCAGTTCACAGGTTTCTGGGGTTCATTTTTGTTTTTTAAATCCACCCTTGTAGCTCCCATCCTTATAGGAGGCAAGGCACAGAGCCCAAACCTCTGCTTGGTGCTTGTATCTAAATCTTACAGATGACCCCCATCGCAGCTGATGCTGCAGCCATTCCAGGGACCATGGATGCTTCCACGGCTGGTTGCTGCTGTTGCAGATGACAGTGGGTGTTGAGGAGAGGCACTGCAGGAGATCTGAATGTATATTTAGGTGTAGAGCAGCAAGGCCCCACTTGCTGAGCCACCTCTTCCTTCCTCCACAGACTACGTTCCTGCTACTGCAACGCAGCTGAGAGACGCGGCAAAGGTACCATCCTGTGAACTCAGCCCCCGAGGTCTTGTTGGTGTTACCAACCTGCACTTATTGCCCATTGAAAGGTGCTGGCCTGCCCAGCAAGCACCATGGCTGTGGAAGCGTTTTGGGGTTTCACCATTCAGGAACCTCTCCAGAGCATGAAGACAGGGCTAAGGACCAGAAGATTATCAGGACCCAACCAGGAGACTAGGGCTGCTTTTTTTGAGGTCTCCTCCAGGTCCACTCCCCAGTGGACCCAGGGCTGTCTGCAGAGCCCTTGGACAACCCTCATTTTGGTTGACCTGTGGCACTTGAGAGGGGAGGAACAGGGGAGAGCTTGGCTGTAAAGCACACGCTCCTGAGTAGGGTCAGGCTACCAGGTTGATGTGCTGGTGAGTAAGGTCGGAAAACACGACAATCTCAACTCACAAAAAAAGAATAAGGGAGTTGAAGGGTGGACACACCCAAATTTGGCAACCCAAAAGCCATAGTTTGGTTGCTAAGTGCCTAATTCATTACTGCACTCTCTCCTGGGACAGGCCCAGGGCTGCCAACCAGCCACATATCCAACCATAGGTTGGGTGGCACAACCACTGACCTACCCCAGGGGTAGTACCAAATGCTTCATGCTCTAGAATCATAGAATAGTTTTGTTTGGAGGAGACCTTTAAGACCACCAAGTCCAACTGTTAACCCAGCACTACCAGGTCATGAGCAGAGATGTCTCCCTGACCAGCAGCCAGCTGATGCTCTGCACCACAGATCTGATGCAGGCAACCACAGTTTCCCTGCGCTTGTGCCTGTCCTTGCCCTCACCAAGCCACACGAGCTCTGACATCCAGTTTACCACCCGCAGGAGGCTGAAGCAGCCATCACCAGTCCCCGCGTCCTCAAGGTGCATTACAAGTACACGGTCGCCCTGCAGGTCAAACCAGGCCTCTCTTACCCAGAGCTTCTGGACCTGGTTTGCAAGAAACTGGAGCTCCAGCCTGAGCACACACAGCTGAGGTGAGGTGCTGGCTGCCGCAGGGAGCTAGAGCCATGTTCTCAGGGCTCCCACCCTCACCCCGTGTCCCCTGCACACCAGGTACAAACCTGCGGAGAGCGAAGCACTGGTGACTCTGAGCACGGGCAACCTGGAAGCAGCTTGGAGCAAGAGCAAGGACCATTGTCTGACAGTCTGGTGTGACATGACAGAGGTCAGTGACAGCTCACGGTGGCAGCCACTCCTCTTGCCCGCTCCTGGCAAGGAACCTAAGCAGACATGGCCTTTGCTTTCCTTGCCCCAAGTACAGCCTTACGGCTTTCAAAGCAAGCCAGCAACCTCTTGAAAGGCAGAGGAGCAAAGAGTGGGCAGAGAGGAGCAACAGAGCTTGTCGCTCTTGCCCTGGTACAAAGAAAAAGGAGGTGGCAGAAGGTGTCCTTAACCGGCTTATTTCCTATGCTAGGGAGAGGGTTTTTTACTGGATAACAAGCCAGAGGAGTCGCTGCAGGAGGCAACGCCGGAGGAGACAGGACCAACCCAAGTTGTAGCACAGTACAGTTATGAAGCCACCCAACCTGAAGACCTGGAGTTTCAGGCAGGAGATGTGATACTTGTTTTATCCAAAGGTAATCATGCTCCTTCTGTGACAGGGGAGGGACCTCCCAGCTCTGGTGAGAGCATGGGTCTGACTGAGATGTCAAGCGCCTGCAGCAGCTGCTGCTCAGTTCAGTGGAAGGTGTCAGTTCCCAACATAGAATCACAGAATGGTTTGGGTTGGAAAGGACCTTTCAAGGTTATCTAGTCCTTGAAAGTCCCCCCTGCAGTGCGCAGGGACATCTTCAACTAGGGCAGGCTGCTCAGAGCCCCATCCAACCTCACCTGGAATGGTTCCAGGGATGGGGAGTCTACCACCTCCATGGGCAGCCTGGGTCAGTGTCTCACCACCCTCAGTGTAAAAAATTTTTTCCTTCTATCCAGTCTAAATCTCCCTCTTTTAATTTAAAACCATCACACTTGTCCTGTTGAACATCTGCCAGCCAGGTATTTGGTCAGACTGGATGAGTGTTCTTCGGTGGAGCCCACAAGCTTTGCTTGGGACCTTTGAACCATTTCCCTCATTCCTTCAGTCCTCCAAAGCAAATTTTCCTGCTGGGGACACACAGAGCATCACCCTTCAGTGACAGCAAACTTCTCCTACCTCTCTAATACTCTCTTCAGTATTAGTCTTTAGTGCTTCTGTGAGAACTGAGGCTTAAAGAGGGACTAAATCTCAGCAAGCTCTGGTACATAGGTTTGAGCTGCATCCCTTCAAGCCTGTGCAGGACGCACAGGAGGGAGGACAGAGTCACTGTGCTTCAGCAAAAGCTGCCAGTGAGCCCACAGCAGGTGAAGAATTACATACAGACTCTGCAGAGGACATCCGTTTCCCTCTTCACTTGAGCCTCTGAGTGAAGTAAAAACATTAGAAACAGTTTAAAAGGGGGTGGGGGGGAAATAATTATGCTATTTTGCTCTGTGTAACTATGACTAAGTTGTGCTGGCTGGCAGGCTTTGGCTGCAGTACATGAGCCATCATAGTCCTCCCCTTGCTGTACAGGTGAGTTTTTGCACCATACAACATTGTTGACTCCCCCACCCCAAAATCCTACTCTCCACTGCAGAGGTAAATATTTCCCATTAAAAAGTTGGTTCTCACCTCATTTGGTTCCCCAACAGCAAGAGTTTTCAGAGCTCCTAAGCTTTACACAACCCAGGGTAGCAGAGGCTTTTGGTTTTTTTTTCTTTTTTACATGAACACGAAACAGCAGGTGCTAAAACGCTTCTCAAGTTGGCAGCTTGAAGAGGACAGTCCAAGGTCTTAGGTGATTTCCTTGCTCTCCACACTCACTTTGTTTCCACCATCTTCTATTCAAGGCAGTTTCTAAACCCCATGGGTCTCTATTTTGATCTCCTTTGTTTGTCAGTGTATTCTTTTTTACCTGAGAACTTTGTTCTCTGCCTCACTCCTCCTAAGCCCCTTCTCTCCACATTCCTCCTCCTCTACCAGGCTGTAGCATAGCTAAAAGGTTTATCAGTAGAAAACCTTCACATGGTGATCTCAGGTTTGTCTGTAGCACATCGAAGTTATTATGCTCCTGTACTTCCCCAGGGTGACAAAAATGGTGCTGATTTTATCTTCCAGTGAATGAAGACTGGTTAGAAGGCCAGTGCAATGGGAAGATTGGCATCTTCCCATCTGCTTTTGTTCAGCAGTCTAACACTAAAGACCCAGAGATGTGACTTCAGAGAAGCTTAAAATGTCATGGAAAGAAATTAAGAATTTAGCTGTTGCAGTTAAGAAGTTTCCATATTCCAATTTCCATTGCATCTGAAAATATGAAGCTCTAAATATTGTTGCTACTTGTATTAAAGCCTTTATTTTTCACTTTACCTTTTGCATTGTTCTCTGTAACAAGTACTTATGAACAAGTCACCAGTTGTTTTCCTGGTAGGAATAGATTCAGTCTCAGGAGGAGTGCTTGCCACCTTCCCTGTGCTTCCCAAAGCTCTCACACAGACCTGTCAGCAGCTGGGGAACCCACGAGAGCGTGCTGCCACCTGCACTTACAGCTCTGCCAACAGACCCAGAAGGGGAACTGGCCTCCAGGAAGCTACAGACCAGGAAAGGCTGAGCAGCGTTTGCTTCCTTAAAACACCACAGAATCCCAGCATAGTAGGGGTTGGAAGGGACCTCTGGAGATCATCTCATCCAAGCTCCCTGCTAAGGCAAGGTCACCTAGAGCAGGTCACACAGGGTCACTGCCAACCCCAAGGGCTTGAGACACCATGCAGCCTCACCCTGAGTCAACGGGTATTTCACTTCAAAACCTCAATGACTTTAAACCCTTCCACCAAGAAGAGTGTACACATTTTTTTCACCTTTGGGAGCTGCATCTCAAAGATTTCTCCCAGCAGTCAAGAGAGACAGTAACTTAAAAAGACACTCTCTGGAATCTCAGTAGGTCATACAGCAGCAAAGTAGTCCCCTATATAAAAGCCTACTTGACTTTGGTGGCCTCTTCTCTATCCCAGAGTTTTGCCCCCCTCTGCCCTTGATACTACTTTCACAGTGTTTTACCTTCCCCAGCTGCTGGCAGCTGGTTCTTCTGGCACTTGAAAATTATCCACCCTGCCCCCTACTCAAAACATGCAAGCTGTAGATACTGCTTGCCAGGCAGGCCATGCTGGAAGCACTCTGCTGCAGAGGCATCCAGGGCAGCTGTTTCTCCACTACAAATCCTACCACTCAAGTTCTAGACAATCCCACTGACCCAAATAACCTAAACATTGTTTATTTTTAAAGACCCTTCAGATCATGAAGGCCAACAGTTAACCCAGCACTGCCAGGGCACCACTAAACCATGTCCCTCAGCACCACATCTACACGGCTTTTCAATCCCTCCAGGGCTGCGGACTCCACCACTGCCCTGGGCAGCCTGATCCAGGGCTTCACAAACCTTTTGGGAAAGAAATTTTCCCCAATATCCAACCTAAACCTCCCCTCATGCAACTTGAAGCTGTTTCCACTTGTCCTATCCCTTGTTACCTGGGAGAAGAGACTGACTTCAGCCTCGCTTCAGCCTCCTGTCAGGGAGTTGTTGAGAGCAAGGTGGTCTCCTCTGAGCCTCATCTGCTCCTGGCCAAACAGCCTCTGGTCTCTCAGCTGCTCCTCACAAGACTCGTGCTCTAGATCCTTCACCAGCTTCACTGCCCTTCTCTGGACACGCTCCAGCTCTTCAATGTCCTTCTTGGAGTGAAGGGCCCAAAATTAAACTTGGTATTCATGGCCTGGCCTTACCAGTGCTGATTT